GTGCCCTCGGCTCGCTGGGTAGTACGCATGAGGACACTTTCCGACAACACAGGCGCCGAGGCTGGCATTAATAAGCTTTACAGCTCGCACTTTCCACTGTCAGCATTCTTGAAGAAGCTTTTGCATGCTGGCATGTCTCACAGGCATTGAGCTTGATGTTAGCCATGTCCCTGGAGAAAAGAACGATGACGCAGATTGGCTTTCGCGTTGGGACGACCCAACTTGGTGAATGGTTGGGAACACACGCGTGGCTCCATGTGAGCTGAGCTCGTCGCCGTTGGGGGGCGGGTTTTTCCTTGAGATCACTTGGCAAATGTGGATTCGCATCATTTCGCATCCACCACTGCGCGGGGAGCATATCTCAGCACATGACTCAGGCAGCACAGTCTTGCTAAAATGGTCCTCGCGTGCCTTGCGTGAGTGCAAGAAGCCGTTTCTTCAGCTGATCTTGGGACGCGGGCGCAACGCCTGCAACTCGACTGAATTTTGCCAGGGCTCAGCCCAGCATTAGCTAAGCAGGGGTTCTTGAAGGCGAGTACACGGCCGCGCCTCAGCCACCTTAATTTTCAAGTGCCCCTAGCACAAGCCTAAGCGACAACAGACTGTAGGAGACTTCCTCCGGTAGCATGCCCGCATCTGGGCTTGAATTCTTTGGGTGCATCGCCCAGGCCACGTCGTGGCCACAGAGCCTGCGATGAGCATCGGCGGGACCCACAGCGCAAGTCCACATTTTTCTTGAAGGTGATGCGGCGTGAGCCATGGCTGCTGAGCCTCATGAGTCGAAGCCTTTGAGCAGCTCAAGGTCTCGGGAAGTGGAGCAGTCTTTGCATTGCATTGCATAGGACAGACACCAGCACGCCCTTCATGCACTTCGCGTTCGCGTGGCCCTTTCTAATCCCAGGCCTTGGGGCATGCCTGGCCTGGATAGTGCCTTTGTGTGCAGGCTCCTTGCGACTGGCAAGCCAACAAGCAACATCCAAGTGCAAGTTTGATAAGAGCTGCTGCTTTGTCTATGCGCTTTTGGTTGGCTTGGGCCTCACCAAAGACGTGTCAGCAGCTTGGACCTTGAACTGGTACACCGTGGCAGCATCTATGATATGCATGTTGGCCGTGATACTTCTCACAATCAGCTATGTTTCCCAGCAGAAGGAGACGTGGTCTTCACAATTTGCCAAAAACCGCATGCCTCGTTCGGTGCTCAACAGCCCCAGTAGCCCGTCCCGCCGCCAAATGCCCCAGCCAAGTCCGAGAAGGAAGGCGCTGACAGAGGTGGCTGCGGCTGCTAACCAGGTCCGGCGGCGGTCCGTCACTGAGGCCTTGCACGAACCACTTGGCATGCTGGGCACCCGTGGCAACAATGGGACCAACTTCGAGGACACGAGCGAGGGGCCCAATGTGATGCCCCACGTCGATCACGTGCACATGACGCAGCGCCACTTTGTTTGGGTTCAGCTCTTCGTGGCTGCGCCCTTGATGTGTGGCATCCTCTTCGGCCTTGTGCACACCTTCGTGCGCGGCTGGCTGCAGCGCAAGCATTGGCTCACCCCCACAGACGTGGATCCCAAGCGTGTTGCCGCCCAGATCTTGCTGGAGACGCCTTCCTTGGCGATGTTCTTCAAATGCAAGCGTCAAGTCGAAGGGCGTACAACAGCCTTGTTCGCTTTCACCGACATCATCCTTATCAACCATCGAAACGAGCTCTGGTATCCTCAGCTTATTACCTTTGATGTGGACCTGGAGACGAAAACTCTGGTGAAAGCTGCCGTGGATGGTGATGAGGTCACGGCTTCTGATGCCATCACTTTGACCTACTTCATGACGGCTGGTGGTACCCATCCAAGACTGCACGCATATGCGAACTTTGGCGTCGACACAGAGGCGACTCGCGGATCCCTCCGTCAAGGCAGCATCATCACGGTGATTTTCAACCACTTCGGCTTCGAAGGGACCGGACGCCTCTTTGAGAACTTGCATCGCTGGGGCTTGATCAACGCTCGTCTGCTCGCTGCAGAGGCCGTGGGTGCCAATGCGACACGGCCCATCCCAGCACACGGTCACATTCAGCAGTTGAAGGACTACTCACGTACTGTTCGGTTTGCGGTGTCCGTGCGCGCAGCCTTCCTTGCAGCCTTTCGTGATGCTGCTTCTCGAGAGCCAGACTCTTATGCTTTGGTGAATCCGGAGGCTCTCTTCGTTGGATCCGTGATGCATTCCTTAGACCACTTCAGTGTGACAAGTGCCGTGAAGGACGTACTCTGGTTTGACGTGAAGTCACCAAAGTTCGGCATCATGGCTCAGGTCTGCAGGGTGGTAAGGGGCGGTATCTCTTCAGAGCTGCCTGGACTCCTGATCAACACAAAGTTTCGGTGGAGCAGAGAGCCTCTCCACCAAGCAGTTTACAAGCATGCTTATAGCATTGATGCCGGGCTGGCCAACGAGATGGAGATCTGCATTTGCAGATAACTTTTGATTTTGGCGGTCTTGATTGCAGCAGACTCGGCAGAGTGTGTACAGAACGGCGTGCTGCTCGCCACAATAGCAGGCGCCATCAGGCGCCCGGCTTAAAGCCGTTTTCTTCCTCAGGTAGTCTTGCAGAGTCTTGCGTGAAGCGCCAGACCTGTTCTTCAATGGTAATGTTGCGGACACATGCGTAGCACCATGTGAGCAGAGCTCGTCACTTGGGGGGAGGCGAGTTTTTCCTCGAGATCACTTGGCAAATGTGAGTTCGCGTACACTGCTCCGCAAGGAGCGAATTTTACAGACAGAGCTGAGCTCGTCCTCGTTGGAGCTTGAGTTGTCTAGCTTCAGGTCATTCCAGACGCTTTCTGCTGTGACTCAACCAGCATTGTTTTGCCAAAATGGTCGCGGCGCGCCGTGCATGAATGCATGAAGTCAGTTTCTTCAACTGATCTTGGGATGCGGGCGTAGTGCTGGCAACTCGACTGAATTCCAGCCGCGGGTGTCAGCCCAGCATTAGCCAAGGACGAGTTCTTGAAGGTGAGGCGTGTAGGCCCGGGCCTCCGCCACCTCGATGTCCCAGTGCCCACAAGCCCAAGCGACTGTAGGAGACTCAAGCAGATGCTTTCCTGGCTTTGAGGTTCAGGTTCGCAGCCGTTGCGCATTTGCTGCTTGTACCGCAAATCGTCGTGATGCAGCCATGTCCTTTAAAGTGTTTATTACCTTGCCTTAGACCATCCCTGGACGGTAGACGGCCATGAAGCTTGACTCGTTTGCCCTCGCTGGGGTCTACGGGATGTTCTTGTCCCTGCTGATCCTTACTGGAAACTTTACGGAGACTTTTCTTGTCATCTTCTGCCGAGAGCCCAAGTACACTCTGGGGAACTTTGGTCAAGTGTGGGCCAACTGGCATGCGATCGGCTGTGCTTACGTTGGGCTGACAAATTTGTGGGTGGCCTTCAAGGCTGAGAGCCTTCAAAGTGCAGCAAAGCAGCTGGTCGCCTTCAACTCGGCCTTCATATATGGCACTTGGTCCCTCCAAAACACGTACTACTGCATCTTCCGCACAGACCTCTTCACGCCGTGGATGTGGCTAAATGCAGGAGGATGTGCAGTTGCTGCTCTTCTGAGCCTTAAGGATGGGTTAGCTGAGAAGTCTGCTGAAGGGCATGGGAAGGCATACCGACCCCTGTCTTGAAATTAGACCAAGCATAGCTGTGATTGGAGTTGCTGCGATTGCTGGTTACCGTGTTCTGGGCCAGATGCTGTTGTTGAAGACAGCAGCCGGCGGCCAATCAAGAAAAAATCATTAAACCTTCAGACCTCTCCAAGGCTTCTGAGTTGAACCCTTAAGACGGGAAAGTGCTCAGTGACGAGGACAGCTGAAAACCAAAGCCGTTGTCCAAGACTCGCCGGGTCGCAGGATGAAATGCATTCATGTGGCCAGGGCTCTTTCAACAGGGAAGCGTCGGCACTTTTCCAGAGTCCATCATGGCTTGCTTCTCGGAGCATTAGTCTGCTCGGTCTCAGGTGCTCCAGGATCCGACCGAGGCCAGTGGGGCTGTTCACGTCTTCGTTGTTATGGGAGCCAGCCATACGTTATTGAACATGTTTGTTCAGCCAAGTTGCCCAAATGAAGTACTGTCGGAGACCCCGGCAGTTGTACTTTGTAGCGCAGCGTTGAATTTGAAGAAATATGCGTCTAGTGCCCAACTGCAGCTTGAGGTAGAGCAAGGTGTGGAATATACAGAGCCACACTACCACTTTCACGGTTCTGCTTTTCGGTGACTTCTGGGTGCTTGCGGCCTGGGGCCTGTTGACGCTGGTGTTCGTGGGGTCTGTCGCCTGTCCTTGCCTGGGCGTCTCCGAGCGATGCGTTCACAAAGCTGCGGTTGCCGCCGAAGGGGCCCCCCACGCAACAAGCTTGCAGCTCCACCTGGGGAGGGTGCATGAAAGTTGAGACGTCCAACCGTTCCAAGTTGCCACAACACTTCATTCATTAGGTTGATTGCAGTGGATATTGGTTGCGGCTTTGTTCCGTTTTTGTGCATTCTTGATTTTACAGTGCCGGAAGGTTGTTGGCTTGCAACTTTTCTCATCGTGGGGCCCTTTTACTGCGTGCCATGAGAAATATGAGAATGTAAAGTCCGACGGTGATTTGGCACAGGGTACGGCAATCCTCTATCATGTAACAAACTCGATTTCCGTTGAACTGCTTGCATTGCTTAGTTCGCAGTCTTCGAAGCTGGGTGGCATATGCAAGGACCAGTCAAGCTTGATGGTTTCTCCCCAGATCTCATGAATCCAGCGCTTTTAAATGCTTTTAATGTCGCAAGTGTTTGTCTGCATGCAAGTTGCTGACTGAGCTTGGCCCGAAGTGGTGGCACAGCACAGCATTTTTCATGAGGGAACGACGTCTGCCAAAAGCATACAACTGCTGGCTCCATGAACATGCATTTAGGGACGTAGTATTGTTTGTGTATCAACGTGAACATCAGCAAAAGCATGCTATTGCTGGCTTAGTTTCAACTAGAGACCGAGCAATGTCGCAGGAACTCCCTGATGACCTCAGCAGCTCAGCTTGGAAAGCTGAAAGAATTCCTGATGGAGGAAAGGACTCTTTGGAGAGCCACCCAAGGTTTGGCGTTCGACTTGGACTTGGAAGCTCCGCCGATATACTACAACAAGGCGGGGATGACACGAAATGATGAAAAGATGAAGTGACTTCAGGCTCGTTGCCTGGCAAAAGGAGTGCTTGCGCAAACCCAATCTGTGAATGCTTCATGCCTGGAGCTAACACTGCAGGCGGACTATATTCAAACTGCTTCTGGTAACAAGGCACCGTGCAGAAGCGCGGGGGGGGGGGGGGGGCACGTGGCTTGATGCTTGGTTACTTGTGCAGGTCAGCCGAAATTCCGTACTTTGTGGGTCGCAGAATATCTCGCTCGTGGGCAACTCCGTTGTCAAGTCGGAACCTTTGCAGATCTTACAGTGTCTGCGGATGCAAGCTGCCACACAAGGCCGGGAGTGGTACTCAGAGGTGACCTTCAGCTTCTCAAGATAGGCCTGGGCTGGTGTAGAGACATTTTTAGAGACAGTTGGGCAAGAAGCCTGCTGGCATTTGGCGCGCCATGTTTCTGAGGGCGTGGAGGTGGAGCGTCGACTGTAGGCTGCACAGGAACTTGGAATGATGATGGGACCTTCGGACAAGAGTTGTGGAGCAGCGGCGGCAAACGTGTTTTCATAAGGGGGAAGGCCGAAGAAATCAGTTTGTTGAGCCGGCACCTGCAACGCTTCTTATATCTTCTTATCCTTTCAAGACTCCCGACAACATCCGCACTAATGCTGAGGCTTGACTACATTGTAAGGTAGAAATTTATCGTACGACCCCACCAGCACGTCACAGACATGCGCATCACATGAGTGCATGCATCGAAGCATCTTCAAAAGCCTCGACTTGATGAAGCGCCAAACATCAAGATCCAATACTGTATCAAATGGCAAAGGCTGGCACCGGGTCAACGTGCCTCTCCAGACGACCACCCTTTGTGCGGGGTGGGGCCAAATCTCAGAAGTATGCTTTTTCATGCAGGCATTGGCCTTGGGCGAGTCCGTTCCGGAGATTAGGGTGTGGGCATGGGTGGGCGGAAATCAGATTTCTCGCGGCCCCTATTTGCGTCATGAGCTTGGGGTGTCGGATCTAGGGCCATCTTCGTACAGCCACAGGTTGCAGGAAATGTAGGCCAAAGGAGCGAGGAGAGAGTCTCCTTGTTTGACTCCCGAATGCGCGTGTTCAGCGATCAACGACATTGTGCAGGGCCGGGTAGGTCTGTGTGAATCAGCCGGTGCTGCTCTGTGTGAGACTGGTGCGATACTTCTAGCAGCTTATCAATTCAAGAATGAATCCGCGTTCCGCTTTTGAGCATCATCAGCTTAAAAAGCTTTTCCAAGAATTCCAGACGCGCAATGATGTTGGCCGAAGGCTTCCAAGCAAACTGCCACTTGCTTTCTTGCCGAAGGCGTGCACAGTACATTTCTGATTGAGTTTGCCGGCAGGCAAGTTCGTGATTATTGGAGATGGCTGCGTGCTACGGCCTTCTTACAAGAAGTACAAGGTGCTGACATGCTTGCAATACAGCCTTGGGCTTGTGTGGTCACAAGGGTCCTGAGATGGTAGAAAATCCCTGCAGACGTTCCCAGCATGGCAGGGAAACATAGCCTTCTTTCCCATGAGCATCGGGGACTATGTGACCATTGGGCCAAAGAGCATTGTTTGCGCTGCCCAGATAGGCAACATGCTTCTCAGCGAATAGCCATTTGAAGCTGTTAGATGTTCTATTCCGCGGGCAGGTTCTTGTGTAGATATTGGCGAGAACTGTGTGATTTCAAAGCGGTGCATATTGAAGGACCCCCGCATTCCTCATGTTGAGTCGTTCATCTGAAGCGGATGTAACTCTTCGCTGCCAGGATAATTCCATAATTCTGCCTGGCACAGTATTGGCCTCAAGAAATGCAGGCAAGACTCGTGCCGTCCGCACCTCTTGCATCTTAGATCTTGCCGCCGGACACCATCGTTCCTCCGCTGACAGCTTTTGGAGGCGTTCCTGGCAGGTTGGGTCCTCTGATGTCCTGTGTTGATTTTTTCTGGCAGAAGCTGGCAGAAAAGGAGTGCTACCCTACTGAAGTGTTGAGGTATTTGGGGGACATGCCAGAGTCACAGCCATTTGTGCAGAAGGAGCTTTTTGGCTAGAATGGTTTGATCTTCCTTCAGGAAACAGAATATGTTGGGTGCAACTGAGGCATGCCAAAACAGAGTACAAGAGGCTCAGATCTCAGCGAACGCCACGGCTCGACTGAAGGTCCGGCAAGCTGCTCAACTTGCTAGGTTCCTTCCGCTTGCAAAAGGTGGTGGAGGCTTTTTCCATGCTGTTGCAGCAAGAATTGTGGGAGTTTAGATTTAGGGCCATCTGTGCGCAGGTGCAACTCCAACAGCTTCGACACCAAAGGCCAAAACACCCAAAAGCCCAAGCAGTGCCCAGCTGTCTCCATAGATTCAAGAGGAGCAAATGCACAGAATCTGCGAGCTCTATCCCCGGCCTGAACAGCAATATTGTTTCAAACAATCATACTTGCATTCCCGGGCAAAATGGCTTTCCCTTTTATTCCTTTGTCCTGAGAGCAGACCGGGCTAGTGATTGCCGACTGCTCGCTGCTTCTCAGTTGCTTCTTTGACGCACAGGGCTGGACCATAAAGTGGTCACGAAGAGGCTGCTTGTCGCGAAAAAAATGCTGCACCTTATAGAAGCAAACACATGGCACCTTCATGCCTTGTGTTGACAACCCCTGACAGCACAAGCCCGTGGTCTTAGGGTTATGAGTCAGGGCAAGACATATGTGTACACATCACTGGAATTTCACCTCAGAGCCCTACCACCAGCGTTCGCAGAACGTTGCCGGGGTTCGCAAGGTTCATGGGGGTGTTCGCAAGGTTCATGGGGTTTGGCGCAACCTTCGCTGGGTTTGCAGAACCCTTCGGGAGGGTAGTAGAGCCCGTTCGCAGAAGGCTACCTTCGGCTAACTTTTTGTGGGTTTGTGGGTTCGGCAAACTTTGGCTCACCCTAGCGAGCGTACTCACAGAGAGGTGTACACATACAATTCTCCTCCAAGAAGTGTGGCTAAGTGTTCCTGCATTACTTACTGTCCAACGATCGTCGTTCGGATCCTAAAGTGAAAGATCGTCACATGTGGTGCTTTCGAGCACAAAATCTTTGATATTACTTATACGGGCTTCGTGGCTCCAACCAAGAGCGCCAAAAAGCTAGGTTCCATATGTCTTTCATACCTTTCAGAATCTGACACTGAACCATACCACCCCACACAAATGGTGAGGTGTGAGAAGGACTCAGTTCCAGAAAGCAAGGATTGGTAATCCTCGGTCCCTCGTGAGAGCGAAGCACAAGGTCATCATATGTCCACCCTTCTGCCTTCTCTGTTGTTCTCTGGAGCCACAAAAACCACACCAAAAACCAAAGACATGCACCGAACTCCAGCGGGAAAGAGATGGAAAGATACTTGCGCGGCGCAAAACATGCATTGTGTGGTGCGGCGGCGAGACTAAGGCGGCGATGTTAGGGGCTGGTGGTGCCGTATTGTTTTCAGTGAAAGCCATCCATGGGCATCCAAACAACTTCAGTTTGAGGGGGTGCTAAGGGGGGGGTGCGTGATATCGTCTGCGCGATGGGGGGAAGGGTGCGCGATATCGTCTGCGCGGGGGGTTTCTGGACTGCTGCAATCAAAGGGCGGGTGCGCGATATCGTGTGCAAGGGGTGAAATAACTATGGCAGTCCAGTCCTGTTGCTTGGCTATCAGGCCATGTACAGTTCATGTAACAAGCCTGTATATCACGCTGCTGTCACTGCTCTCAAGGTT